AAAAAAAAAAAAAAAAAAAAAAAAAAAAAGCACTAGGTGATTTAAGCAAAAGCACTTTTAGTAGAGTGGCTGGGCTAAATTCATGTCACAGTGGGTAGCAGAATGAAGAGAAGATGAGAAAGTAAAGAGAGGGAGTGTAAAGTGCTCCTTATGAAGTTTCCTTGAAGATTAGCAGAAGGGAAGAGTTACTAAAGAATACTGAATATTCATTGAGGTTCTCCACTTCCGAATAGATAATTTTCTGCTGATAATAACCTGCACAGCTCAGAAAAAAGACCCATGTGATCTGTCCCTGTTTTATTTAAATGTAGTCTTTAACACAAGTCTAGGTTTCCAAAAATATATTAAAAATATTTTAGAAAATCATTCTTTAATATTTAAGGAATCTGGGAAGGATTTGACTCTTGTTTAACAGAATATAATTCTGGTTAATACACAGAATCAGCAGAGGAGCTGAAAGTTCGGAGCCACAGCACGGAACCAATACCAAAGTTGGACAACAAAGAGAGAGGACATCATGGGGCATCTTCCTCCAGAGAGCCTATCAAAGCTCAGGAATGGGATGGAACACCTGGGCCACCTGTGGTCACCAGTAGACTGGGAAGATGCTCTGTGAGCCCCACCTTGCTAGCAGGAAACCACAGCTCAGGTAAGAAAGATAATGTTCTCCTGGACGGTAAGTCCTCGGGTGTCTAGAAACTGCTTTTATGAAATTATCACTTAGAAAACCATAACCACAGATATCTCTGTCTCTACTCTTAGAGACAGCGTAAATAGCCCTGCACACAAAAGGAGGTGACAGCATGTGGCACACTACAGGGAACATTCTTCACATGGATGATAGAGAAGTGAATGGTGCTTTTCGGAGCTGTACAACGCAGCAGCCCTTACAACTCCAACTGTCTTGCACTAAATTTCTTAAAAAAAAAGAATCCTTGGGGCTCATCTAAAGCAGTTTTCATTTATAAAGTTGAAGTAACTTAGAGTTTATGCCTCCTTTGCTTCAAAAAAATTCTAGACAACCGGGAAAAAATGAATAGGAAGTAAAATTGAGGATAAAAATGTAGCAAAGACGATATGAAGGCAGTAGAGAGAGTAAATATTATGAGACATTTGATGTATCAATAATAAGCTGAAGAGAGTAACTGGTCATTGGGCAAGGTACTAAGTTTCCCTGTAGGTCAAAAGAGCTGGAAAATTATAATCTAACACACCTTTAAATTCACAAGTTGAAATTAAAATCTGTGATGCAATTTTGCATTGTTAATAGATAAATATTATTAAACATCAATTTTTAAAAGACAGAATATGTGTGCTTTGAACTGATTGATCTATATGGTGGGCTTGGAGAGCTGTCAATTGAAATAAACAGCAAATAATCAAACAACTGCCTGTAGTTTTCAGATTTCTATTCCTTAACAGTGTTAGGGCTCTGAAGAAAAGACCAATTCTTTAATGTTTTTTCAACTCTGATATTCATCTTGGAAAGCAATTAGCATGAGTTTAGCCTGTGATCTCTCTGAGAGTCACGCACAAGTTAAAACTGGAATAGGGGGGCTTCCCTGGTGGTGCAGTGGTTAAGAATCTGCCTGCCAATGCAGGGGATGTGGGTTCGAGCTCTGGTCCGGGAGGAACCCACATGCCGCAAAGCAGCTAAGCCCGTGCGCCACAACTACTGAGGCTGCACTCTAGAGCACATGAGCCACAACTACTGAAGCCCACGTGCCTAGAACCCATGCTCCTCAACAAGAGAAGCCACCGCGATGAGAAGCCCGTGCGCCGCAGTTAGAGAGAAAGCCTGCGTGCAGCAGTGAAGACCCAACACAGCCAAAAAAACAAAAACAGAAACAAAAAAAACTGGAACAGGATGAATGATCTCTATATCGGGGAAGGGATGTTTCTAGAACAATACCCAGGCAGAGGTAGAGCAACATCTTCCTCAGACTGAAAATGTAACTAAAAGCTTTGGTGATGGAGCCATATCATGTATCATATGGGTAATCAACAACGTGAGTTCAACTCTCAGAGAAGGAACCTTATGTGAATTTATCAGAACCCTAAAAATATATTTTTGGTAGTAAAGTATAAACATCTATAGGTATATGAGAAGAAGATATCTGTGCATTTTGTCAGAAAGAAAACAAAAGACATAGGGAACAAATAGCATTTTGTAGAAATAAAAAAAGCCACTCCCAAAGAAGGTTGACATCACTATTCAGTTGGGAATTGTGATTAGTTTTAGGTTTATTAGTAGTATATTTTTAATGATTTTCTAAGTTTGTACCAGTTCTATCCAAAAAAAACATGAATAGTATCTGCTCCTATTGTGTCCACGGGTATTTTATAAAATTCAGAAGCATTAGCTGAGAAGAAATAAGTCAGCCTTCTAAAAGAAAATCTAAAACACTACAGGACGGAACCTTTGCTGTGAAGGGTTGGGGAAGGTTGAAGAAAGTGCAAATTAGGGTGGGACCAGATAGCAAGAATCCTGAAGGGCCTTGTGCATTAAACAGAAATGCTTTCAGTCACAGAGTACCAATTAACAGTGGCTAAAGTAATACTGGCTTCTGTTAACTCTCCATAGTGCTGGGTCTGGAGGTAGGCAGTTGCAGGGGTCTTGTAACTGTTTAGTGATATCATTGAGGACCCAGGAACTTTCTATCCTTCTAACTCTTCTCTTCTGCTACCCTTGATGGTTATATTTGTGATCACAAGCTGAGGAGACATTTCTGGGCATCATGCTCCGTCATATGCTCTCTTTGATCTAGTTGGCCAGATCTGGGAAACATCATGGGATTATAGAGGGCCTTTCTCTCCCTTAAATCAAGGGAACTCTGCCTTATACCTGGAAATGAAATCAACAGCCTATTTGCAGGGATGGGGAGGGAGTGTTGCATAAGCAATGGACAGTTATCTGCCCCATCATGGTTAGGTTTTGAACATTATGTGGTGGACTTTTGTAGTCATTTAAATATTTTTAAGATAGATATAATATAATTCAGTTTTCATCATGAAAGATCCAATGGTAAGTCCAAGGCTTCAAGCATGGGTGACTGGGAGACCATTTACTCAGACAGGGATAGTCAGCATTGTTAATGAGTCCAAGCTTTTACTGCTCACTGCACGACAGGCCAATAAATTGAGAGACAAGGTGTTGGGGCAAGGAATAGTGACTTTATTTGTAAAACCAGCAGACCCAGAAGATGGTGGACTAGTGTCCCAAAGAACCATCTTTCCTGAGTTAGAATTCCAGCTTTTTTCATACTAAAAGGGGAGGGGTTGTGGCTGGTTGTTGGAAACTTCCTGGTGCCAGAATCCTTTGTACCTGTAGCTGTACAGATAGGTCTGGTAACAATGTTCCTATAATCCTCCAACAAGGCAAATGTTATTTTCTGTTCTGCACCTGTTTACCTTTGTATGAGTGGAAAAGTGTTATCAGAGCCTTGAGAATGGGCTATTTTATTCCAATTTTGAGGGGAAGAGGAGAAAAGGCAAAATATTTGTTATATTGGTAGTTTTAATTTTTCTAAAAAGAAAGAGCCTAAAATGTGCCAATTCTATACTAGAAGTCGGCATAGTTCCACTAGCAAAAAAGTATAATATTGATATTTGAATATAAAGTTCATGCACCTTTGGGGTTTTAAACAAATGGTGTACACCTTAAAGAATAACCCTCATCAGTGAGATGGCCTTTGTCCAGACTAGGCAAATAACTATGTGAAGAGAGCGTTTTGGACTTGCTTTTTTGGAATAAAAGAGAGTGAGTCAGTATTTACTCTTTATCTCTCTTCTCTTCACACTTCATTATTGTTTCCTTGACACGGGGCCACTGGACTATGAATCCCCTTCCTACACTGCACCAGAACTGCGACCGATAATCCTCTTCCCTAAACAACGAGGTACCCAGCTCCACACCTAATGCTCAAGATATAAGAAGGTTCCACCAGTTCCACTTTTAAATCCCCCCTCTCCGTGTCCATCAACTTTCTGCTTCTGGTTCTTTCTCTGTCTGTTTCACTAACACATACACATAGACACACACACACACACACACACACACACACACACACACACGCATACAAAGGCACACCAACTGCTATCAGTCACAGACTATTCGCTTTAACAAAAGTAGTTTAGCCACTTGAAATGGTTGTTCTTAACAGCTCTTTTGAGGAATGGAGGAAATGCTGAAGTAAAGTGGGTGAGCGTGTCAGGAGATCTCAGCTCTAATTAACAGTGAGTGCCACTGGTTGCTGTGGCACCTTATTCAAGTCATCGTTGTTTAGTAAATCAGAGATTCCCCAGGGGGAGAGTCTTGAAGGTGGTGGAGGACTGGAACCCAAATGCTCATGAGAAAAAGTAGAAATTAGAGGCTTCCCTGGTGGCGCGGTGGTTGGGAGTCCGCCTGCCGATGCAGGGGACACGGGTTCGTGCCCTGGTCTGGGAAGATCCCACATGCTGCAGAGCGGCTGGGCCCGTGAGCCATGGCCGCTGAGCCTGCGCGTCTGGAGCCTGTGCTCTGCAATGGGAGAGGCCACAGCAGTGAGAGGCCCGCGCACCACAAAAAAAAAAAAAAAAAAAAAGTAGAAATTATACCAGTAATATTGTATTAACAAAAATTTAGATTTCAATTACCAAATCAATCAACAAATAGTTTTCAAGCTTGTATCCATCTCTGTTATAGTTTCTGGGGACAAAAACACACACACATACATACACACACTATAGGGTATATAAAACATAAAACATGGTCTCTGCCACTCTACGATATTACTATGCTTCTTTATGACACAAAACTATTGAGTATAAATGAATTAGATTATAATTAAATGTATTATTTTCATTATTATCTACTTTTTACTATACATTTAAAATCATTCAGAGAACAAAAAATATGGGCAGGCTGGAAAAAGGATGGAGGGCTTAATGGGAGACATTGAGTCTTTAACCAGGATTGTATCAGGTGTGTTTAAAAATTATTATTAATTATTAATTGCGTAGAAATATAGAGGGAGAACTTTCTACGTGGGGTGAGGAAGATGAACAAAGGCTGAGGCAGACCCCTCCTGACTTGGTGCTGCCAGGCCTGCCTGACTGGAAAAGCAATTTTGGAAGTAAACTCAGAGGCCTTGGCTTAACACTATAAATGAGACAATCTTAAAATGACCTCAGTTTCTGTGTATTCAGCCTGGTTTGTTTTTGCTCTCTGAGAATGTCCACCATGGGATGCAAACTGAGATGCCTGGTGACAGGCAGGTAACATCAGTGAGTGAATTAGGAGAAGTGCCTTCTTCAAAACAGATATGTTTTGCTTATACATTGCATACATAGAACTATTCTTTGCTCTCACAAAGGAAAATATTTTCCCCATTTTTCTTGAAACTTGAAGTTCTTTTGGTCTAAGTTATGTATTTCCACATTTGTTAGAAGCATAAACCTGGAGAAATATTTTGGCATTGCAGAGGAAATCTATTGCAAACTGACAAACATCAGGATGGAATGATGGAGATGCAGGTGACCTGGAAAGTACCAAAGCATCTCAAGGGGACAGAAGCTACTCAGTACCAGTTGATGCTCGCCATGAGAGAGGCTCACCCCAAATTCCCAGATTTAATTACTGTAACATGAAATCTCTCAGTTTTTCAATAG